GATATAGATATAGATATAGATATAGATATAGATATAGATATAGATATAGACATAGATATAGATATAGATATTGCAATAGGCTTATATATAGGTATAGGAATAGATACAGATATAAATATATTTAGATATAGAAATAGGTATAGAGGTATAGATATATATAGTCGAAATCCCTAGAAATGTTTTCTTAACTAGAATAACTTTATTCGCGGTTAGTTTCTACTCCAGATTGATAAGGATAGAGCTTTAGAGCTAAGCTTGATGAATGAGACATGAACTATAACGAATCACAAAACCTTGCCAAAGCACATGCAATATATCATCTATCATATATTATAAACTACATAGACTACAATCTAAGAGAGTACAATATCTAGTCATAAATATGATATACCATATGTACTAACCCTCCTGTATGTAGAAGCTCTCTAATCTCTAATGTTTCTCTCTCTGCAGCTGAAGGAGCTGAGCATGGTGCTGCAGAACCTTTGCGGCGTGCTGCCAGCGGGCGTGGTTTGCTTCTTGCCCTCGTACGCCTACCTGGACACGGTCTACGGGCATCTGGAGCAGAGCGGCGCATTGCAGAGGATTGGCCAGCGCAAGCGCATCTTCCGTGAAACGGCTGGCGGAGCTGGCGTGGAGCAGTTGCTGCAGCAATATGCGAATGCCATTGATCAGACAGCGGGCGGAGCGCTGCTGCTGAGCGTGGTGGGCGGGAAGCTATCGGAGGGCCTCAACTTTGCCGATCAGCTGGGCCGCGGCGTCATTGTCGTCGGCCTGCCGTACCCAAATCGTACGTCACCCGAACTCAAGGAGCGCATGCGACACCTGGACGAGACGCTGGGCAACGGTGCCGGCAACGAATACTACGAGAATCTCTGCATGAAGGCGGTCAACCAGTGCATCGGTCGCTCGGTGCGTCACATACGCGACTACGCCTGTGTCTATCTGCTGGACGAGCGCTACGGCAGCGAGCGCATCCAACAGAAGCTGCCGGCATGGATTGCCCGTCACATCCACGTGGCCAGCGAGGGCTTCGGTGCGGTGCAAGCGAGAACGGCGCGTTTCTTCAAGGCCAAGAGTTAAGATCTCTATAGAGATTCCCTCTCATCTGTTCTGGAGAGATCTAACGGAAGGAACAAATGTGAATGCTAGCATGGCTAGAGAATCTGTAGAGATTATAAGGCATACACTCTTAGGGAGAGATAGATAGGAATCGAAGTTTGTTGGAGCCTCTTTGTGGGCTTGGGATGCTAAGGGAAACTGCCGACTTCTGGATGAGATTGGGTGTAAGCACAGTAGCATAGTATTTTAAAAGCTTAGGATTGTAAGTAGTTCGAACTAGAATAGAATTCAAAATATAATCTATGTTCCATGTCAATGCAAAGTTCTAGCTAGGCTAAGATCTAAATATAAAGCTTCATGTATATATAAGTTAACATAGTCTAGGATAACTCCTATAGAGGTAGCTAAAAGAAGATTAAGTTAGTCAAGTTCCAAGAGCATTGTTAGGGATACACTCGAAAGATCAAAAACTGTAAGAGAATTGCGCATCTTTAACTATAATAAAACAAATTCCAAGAATTAACATACTAAAGTTATATAAACTCAATATTTATATATAAGTAAAAAAAACACACAGCTGTATATACAATATTTTTGTTAATTTGTAGGGAATTGTGGAGACTCTTTTAGGCCCAATCTTCTACTGAGCGCGAGTATTGAGCGAACAGCAGATTGTAGGTTGGGAAGCTGCAGCACTGCATATCTGTGCGCTTCCAGTTGGACAGGGTGGAATATTCGATCTCTAGCTCCTTCATTGTATCGTAGGCCAGCGAGGACTTGTTGGCAAAGATGGTAACGATGAATTTGCCCGGCTTGAAGGTGCGAATGACCTGGTTGATCAGACGCGTGTAGTTGTTGAGGGCCACGTTGCTCTCAAAGCTGACGTAAGAGAATTTCTCCTCGGGTGTTATATGTATGGTCATGTATTCGCCCTGCTCGTTAATGCCGTTCATCGAGTAGCCACACGGATCGAATAGAAAGTCATCAATCACCATGTCAGGGAGGATCTGGTCGATGCCAGAGTGCTGGGTCGACTCGGCACCGGTGGCGAAACGATCCTTGTTGAAGGCCAACATGACATCCTTGTCGAGATTCTGCATAAGTATCTCAATGGTCTGGTCTGGATCAGTGTTCAGATGGTCTTCTTGCTCGGCAGCAAGCAGCAGATCAGGCAGGGCTTTGACTACAACTGGCTTGCTGAATGTATAGAGATACCAGCATTCGAGATTGATTGAGCCGAGACAATAGGAGCGGCCCTCGGGAAAGATGCTGTCCAAATAGGTGACCTCCTCGTAGAACCCTTTGTGGGGACTAATCTGCACCTCGGGACGGGTGAAGTTCTTGCGCGAATAGAATACATCGGTGATGACAGTGTATCCCTGCTGCTTGGCCAAGTCGAGCAGCTGCTCAAGGCACCTCAAAGGTGTGGTGGTGCCACAGGTCTTCAATATCCAGCGGCGCTTCGAGACAAACATGCTGCTCTCGCTGAGCAGAAAGGCATCAATTAAATCATTCTTCTTAAAGCTGATTATCTCGCATTTAACGTGGCGCAGCAGCTCTTCCCATGCGGGGCGTGTGATGTTGCGTAAGTCGCCATTCTGTTCTGGACGTTCCTCAAACCAAATCTCCAATAGCTTCTCAACACCTTCGAAATAGTGCGATGGGTTGGCAACGTCCAGCATTCCCTCCTCCATTGGATAAAAGAACTTCAAAACAACTGCGTTTTAGAGATGAACAAGATAAGCACCGACGAATAGTGCAGCACGACACAACTATCGATGTGTCTATCGATTAAAAGAATGGCCGAATAAAAAAAAAAATACGTTATCGTGCAACGTGAAAAGCACAAAAAACGCAACTTTATTTAATTTTGATTTTGCTTTTAATTTTTAGCAACACGGTGCATTAAATACTAACACAAACTAGTGGATATTTTTTTATTGTACAATCGAAATATGCTACCCAAATAGCAGCGAAATATATTTATTTATTGTAATTTATTATTTTTTTTTTCCGTAAACTAGATGTGTATATCTCGGGCGTAGAAAACCGATTGAACTGAATAAATAATATAGGTGTATAGCATTCCAAAGTTTGCAATGCGAAGCCTACTATGATTTCAATATTCAGCTTGTATATTTTATTATATTTTTTGTGCACGAGATGTATACTTTGAGAACCAAAAAGGGACTGAAATAGTTAATTGAATGAATAATATAAGTATGTTAAATTACAAACTTTCAAATACGAAGTCTACTATGATTTCAATATTATGTATTGCGCGGGCAGAATCGAAACTTGTATATTTTATATTTTTCAGATAGCTTATTCACAAATTCAGTATTTTTGTTGTGGTATTTCTGCGCAATACTTGATGGAGAATATAGTCAAATATATATGGTAATTCAAAATTCATGCGTAAATTCGACATTTCATTTGCAAATTTCGTATTTAAACAATGCTCTTTCTTGTTATTATCTCCCATATGCATGCATGGAGGAACCAATGAAATTTCGTAATAATATATATATCACAAAAGACAAGTCATACCCGTGGGCCACATAATTTGGAAGAGTATCTCATCTTCGTCGTGAACATTACAGTGATTTTTGGCCTGCTTGCAACCACTTTGGGTATTTCTACGTCAGTCGCGCACGGTCACACTGGCATTGATGTGTGTGTTGTTAGTCGCCGTCTCTACAAAACCATTTGTTTAACAGTGCGTATTTTAAATTAAACTGAACATGTGAAGCTAAACTAAACGTGAAATTAGTAACTATACACGAAATAGCGTTGCTTATGCATTAAGTACGTAATTCGGCGGAACTGAATAAAAAAGTGTAGTTCATAAATAATGCAGCTAATGTGTTTGTCACTTGCCATATACACATATACTGTCTATGTGTGTGCGTGTGAGCCTGCGTGAGGATGTGTGCGTGTATGTGTCTGTTGGTTGTTTGAAAAGTGCATTCTGTTCGTTATAAATAGCTGCAATAGCTTGCAATTCGAAACGCTTTACAGTTGATAGAGCCCCATCCGCAGCCAAGTTCAAGTCCAGTTTCCTAATTTTGGTTGCATTTCGAATCTCCGAATATTTCTCTCCTCCACTATCTCTACCTCTCCCTCTCGCGCGATGTCTCTATTTACTTTTCACATGTGCGCTGGGCTGATAAGCTGAGCTGGAACTGGTGGCTCCCCTGTTTGCTTATTATATCTAGTAAGTTTTCCCACTCTGTTTGCCTGCGCCTTCGTATTTGATTCATGGGCGAGATATGCCACGATATGCCGATCGCCAACAACAACAGAAATATGTATACATACATATATTAGTAATAATTTTACGTCAATATACTTGCCGGGCGATAAAAACGGCTGTCGCCAGCTTAAGAATATATATATATATTTTTTTTTAATATTCATTCAGGCATGCATTTGTACATATGTATGTGTGTGTATTTTTTTATTGTCGCGTAAAAGGTTGCTCAGATTACATGCACACAGACACACATACATATTTGCCCCTGTGTATGTGTGTGTGTGATGGCTCTGCCTGGCCAGAAACTTGGATACGTTCCGTTTGTCACCGGAGCGGAGCTGCAGTCAGCGAAACTAGCAAAGCGGTTATTCTCGTTAGTTGTTGTTATTGTTGTGGAAAACTTGTTTTTATCGCTGACTATGATAAAAGTGGCACACATATTATACATTTTTAATATACATAACAGAAATAACAAAAAAATTTGAAAACTCAGCAGTCGAAAGCCATCTTTTCGCTTGCAGTTGCATTTAAATATATACAAACATATTTAGTTTTTGACAGTTATCGTTATCGATATGAATCATGCGCCGACTTGTTTACGTTCCTCAGCTACAATTTGAATTCCAGCAGCAGCAGCAGCAGCAGCCGCCTCTTCTACCCAGCTCAGCCCACCCGCCCCCACTGGGTGGCACTGCAAATGCCCTTCGCTGACAAGAGTTACAGTTACTGTTAACTGTTAACTGTGACCCGCTAACAGTTAGCTAACTTAGTTATTATATTAATTGCACTAGTCGTCTCTGTATCTCTTTCTGTAGCTGCATCAATTCGGGTCTAATAAGAATCGGGTGTATTTGATGGCATTTGATGCCTGCCGCAGGGCATTCGGGCTTCGGTGTGCGCTGCACGGCGCGGCGCCTGTTTCGTTCGTTCATTTTCTCGCTTCTTGCTTCTTGCTGCTTGCGGCTGCCTTTGCAGGCAGCCAAAAACGTTGCGCAGGTTTTTCGATTCATTCGCATTTGGACCGCTGGCGCGGCAACAACGCTACTTGCGAAACGAAACGAAACGGTAAATGAAACAACGCCCCGTGGCCGTGTTTAACGTGCGTCGGCAAAACTAAAAAAGAACAAAAAAAAAAAAACAACTGAAAATACATAAAACATAATTAGTTTACAGCGCGTGCAGTGCAACAACAACAACAACAGCAATAATAATAATAATAATAATCGTTATTATGGCAATAATAATAATCGCTACGACAATCAAATTAATTGTGCATATTTTTTTATATAAACAATAAATCTCAATAAATTGCAGCTGATAAGCAGCCTTTGCTTTTTGTGTGTGTGTGTGTGTGGTTTTTTTTTTATCGAATTGTGAGCAAAATTATTTTTTCTGCAAAGTTTGTCCTGTTTTTTTTTTTGACGTTGTTGGAGTGCGAGTGAGACAGCAAGCGGCGAATGCGGCAATTGAAATCAAAACAAAAATTGTTGTGCTTGGCAATTTAGCAAAGTGCCGTTAGCAAGGCTGCATATATGCCGTTATATGGCGACAGTTTGTGTGCAGAATTTATGCCCTTTTTTTGTATGTTTCTATTTTTTTCCTTTTTGTGTGTTTTTTTTTTGGGTGTGTGAAAAGTGAAAGTGAAAATTTAGCGCAGGCAACGCGCACACATACACACGCACGTGCACACACACACACTCACACGTGCACTCACACACAGACGCAGAGCGAGGCTCGCACGCTGTGGCACAGGACATGGAAACAGACGAAATAGAGAACAAAGAGCGCGTGAGCGTATGAGAGAACGTTTTTGTGTCTAGGCAGAGGCGAGCGGGAGCGACCGAGATAGATAGACCGGGCGAGCGGGCCAGAGAGAGGAAGAGAGAGAGAGAGCAAGCGATTGGGAATTTGGAATTTGGCACAGCGTGTGAAGCGCACGCATTAACACCCCCGCCGCAGCAGCCGCTCTCTTCCTCTGTCTCGCTCGCACGCTCGCACTCTGCGCACACTAACGTGCCTCGGCGTCCGTGTGTGTGTGTGTGTGTGTGTGCGTGCGTGTGCGTAAAGCATACGAATGTAGTCCTCCCCACAGCCCACTCAACTTCTTTTACCCCCCTCCCTCTAGCAGCAGTGAGTGTAATGCGCTAAACTCTCAAGTCAATTTTGCGTTGAAACGAGACGCGGCGTTGTGACGTCAAAAGCAGCAGCAGGAGCAGGAGCAGCATCAGCAGCAGGAGCAGGAGCAGGAGCAGCAGCAGCAGCTTTGCCACATCTACTACGCCGCCCGTTGCCACCCCACAGCACACGCACATACACACACACGCGCTCACACATACAGCCACGCAGCATAACAATATAAAGGAACAAAAAAAAATAACAGAAGCAAGCTAGCAGAAGAAGAAGCAGCGCTGCGAAGACGACGACGGCGACTAGCCGAAATACGAGTGACTGAAACAGTGAGGCAGAGAGAGAGAGAGAGAGAGGGCGCGAAAGAGAGCGAGCGCGCCTGCAAGCGCCAGCGTTGTGTGAGCAGCAGCAACAACAATAACAACAACAACGACAACAACAACAACAACAACAGGAACAGCAAACGGAGCAAAAGGAGCCATAAAAATGGAACAGCCGAGCATACTCGTTAAAATCCTGCATTCAATACCGCATGTGAATTACACATTTCGTCGGGTTAATGACACCTTCAATCCGGATAGCGATGTTTACCTAGAGGTGAGTACCAGAGCCCCAAGGATTCCCCGTTCCCCCCCGTCCACTCGACCTGCTTCCCACACCCCACCAGCCATAACGAGCGTGTCAAAGTAGCGCCATACTCTGCTTGTTGTTGTTGCTGTTGTTTTTATTCTATTTGCTGTGCCATTTGGAGTGGACGCCTCGAGTGGCGCCCCTCCACTTGAGACCCCGCTATTATGCACTTGAAGTGCGTCCCATTTACATTGATTGCATTTTGATTTGTTTAGTTCCCAATACATACATATGTATATCAATGGCACTCACTATCAGTATCCTTGCCTCAAACTCTATGTATGTGTGTGTGTGTGTATGTACATATATAGGTATGAATATATATCTTTTTTTTTATGTGTTTTAAGCAAGCGTTCTCATTTACCTGTAAGCAGCACGCGCTCTCTTCTGCTCTGGCTGCCTATATAGCACACACACACTCTCTCTCTCTCTCTCGCTCTCTCTTTTTCACTCGCTTCTCTCTCTCTGTTTGTCTAACTAACTTTGCTGCAATTGCACAAAATATCTGGCAACAACAACAACAAAGCTGAAGCCGCTTTGATAAATTTCAATATTTCCCATTTTGTTTACGCCTTTTGTTGTCTGCCTGCGTGTGCGTCTGTCGAGCCCTTTTTGTTCCATTCCCATAACGTTCCGCGGTGGCTGCTGCTGCGGCTGCGGCTGCGGCTGCCTGCCATGTGCGCTGCATGTGCCCGGATTCTTGTCTACCTCCGCCCTCGCTTGTTGAGTGGGGCTAGCGGGGGGGTTACAGCTACTACAACGTACTCACACTGACACACACACATACACACACACACACACATACACACACACACACACACACACATACACACACACACACTTCCGGCTTCCCATTTGCTTGCTCTTCCCTTCTTTCATTCCCTTTGTTTGGTTTCTTTTGATTGCCCGTTGTCTACGGCCGCCGCCATGTATCAATGGGCATGGTCGAACCCAAAAACCAACAACAATAATAAAAAAAAAAACACAAAGAAAGAAAGAAAGAAAGAAAGCAAGCAAGAAGAAAAACCGAACCCTACAGCCGCCACTCACCTCGATTCGCAGCAGGGAACACAGAGCAGCTGCCATTGTTTCACTGACGAAATGCCTGTGGCCCCCGCGCACCTTCTCCTGCTGCCAGCTCCTGGCTCTTCCTTTCCACTCTCATTCTTCCTTGGCTGGGCCGCCCACCATTTGCGTGGCTGCGTTCGCTCGCGGTTTATCTGGCAGCATCTTGAGCCAGTGGTCCGTATGATAACCGATGGCAACAACAACAACAACAACAACAACAACAAATGAAAACAAAAACAATACAGTCCATTCGATATAACCACACACTCACGATGCCCAGCACCGATTGTAATTGGGAATGACAGCTCTTTGATTCTCATTGCGGAAATGGGCGTGACTGGGAGCCAAACATCCAAACATATCAAATATGAAATTCCTTTAGAGAAATGATTTATCTGCCCATGGATTGGCTTTCAGAAGAGTTTAATGTTCACGATTTTCAAATTGACAATGATACGAAAAATGAATTCAAGTTTGAAAATGATTTAATATATATGTTAATGGGAAAAGTCGCCAGTATAGGGGATTTGTTAGATCTCAAAATGCGAAAATTACAGGGATAAATGAGAGTCAAACTCCCGCATAAAGTCCTGCATCATTATAGATATCTATGAAAGATATTTTCAATCAGTGATTTTAATAGTTGGTTTAATACATAATATATATAGTATAAAGATTTGTGAAGATAAGCGTAGTATAGACTCTTACGGCTTCCTGCAAAATCTTATGAACTGCTCATTAGAGATGTGACTAAATATAACTGTAAGCTGTGAAAACCTTAGGAACCCTAAAGCAAATGAAGGATTTGAAAAATACAACTCCCATAATGTAGCTATAAAACGGAATAGAAAGGACACATGTCTCTGAAACTGTAGGACTTGTAGAACTAGGGCGTATCTGTAGCAATAAACTTGAAAATCCTTCAAGAGCTGACATCGCTTAGTCTAGGATGATAAGTTGCTGAAGGTAACCTATAAATCGTCAAGCGATTTGAACATAATGAATGCAGATTTTCTTAGCTTTAAAGAGGGAAGAAAGACCTGAAAGAAATATCCCTAAAATACCAAAATTTTAAAGACTTACACAGCAACAGCCAATGTGCCCCTCCATGGACTATTAAGAGGAAAACAGAGTGTGCATTAAATATATAGAAGAAAAACTTTGCAGTTCTGCCTGGAGCAACGGCGACGTCGACGTCGACGCCGACATCAGCGTCAGCGTCAGCGTCAATTACGCACAAGGCCGAGCCGGGCAACGAGGCGACGTCAACATCAATTACCCGGCCAAGAGCTCGAGGAGCGTTGAGCGTCGAGCGTCGAGCGACGCCCAAAGGCAACAAAAAGGCGTTGCACGTACGCTCCTTGGGTCCATCCGTCCTGTCGTCCTGTCGTCCTTAGTCCGTTGTCCTTTGTCCGTCGTCCCTTGGGGATGTGGCGTAGGTCAGCTGCCCGAGGAGACCCAGTCGCCAGCCCGGAACAACATGCAAATCACACAAATGCCAAATGCAGTTGCGCTCAGCTTTTCCAGGCATTTTCTTGCGAGAGTTAATTGAAAATTAGCTGGATTAAAAATGTTGCCGGCTTTGCTGTTTGGCTAAGTAGATGGCTGGCAGAGCAACAAAGCTGCGCCTCCATTGTCAAATTCAGGTCAGATTCGACGCTCGTTTTGGCTCGCTTCGGCTCGGCTTTGGCTTGGATTTTTTTCTTGGATGCGGATGTAGGTCAGCTGTCGCTGCTGCCGCTGCTGCCGCTGCCGCTGCTGCTGCATTGGGCGTAGTTTTTACGCGCGTCAGCAAAAAAGTAAAATATATATATATAAAAAAAAGCAAAATTGGCGGAGCAGGCACAGTCATAGGGAAACGAGGACAGCTCGACTGGCATCGGATCGAATCGGATCGGATCGGCTGGGCTGCTCCCAATTGGAGGGCAGGTGGTTTGCCATTTGCCACATTGTTGTTTTTGCCGGCTATCGACGAGTCGAGCGCTAAATACATACGTCACATGGGATTACCCAGGCCCATAATGGGCCTCACAATGAGCCAGCACTTAAGCCAATTCTGTTTGCGGTTCGCTGGCAAATGAGCCCAGTAAGCTAATCTGCTTATCGACTGACAGACCCAGCGACTCGACTCGACTCGATTCGTTGCTCTATTGAATGTAGAACGCGACCAGGCGGGGGGCAAGGTAGCTGTCCCAGCCACCAAATTTATGAAAATTGCATAAGGATTTATTACCACACAATATGTGGCTGGCGGCCCGAGATGAAAGTGGAAGCGGCGACTGTTATCTAAGAGAGAGAGAGAGAGAGAGAGAGAGTAGAGCGAGTGAGGAAAATGGAAAAGTGGAAAAATGGAAGTAGGTAAAGCGGCCTCTTCTATTGATGCTACTCGAGAGGTTCATTCAGCCCGGCAAAGTGCATCCATAGAGCTGTTTCTGTCTATTCAACTGCATCCATAAATTTCGATACCCCAATAGTTGCTGCCTTAAGACTCCAAACGGATTGAAGATGTAGGCCTTTAGATCGATTGAAATCAGAATTATTATGCTACGATTTACCGTTTCGGATAAGTTTGTCCATAGGAATTGCTGGCATAGAACTGTTCGCAAGTCGATTGCGGCTCTTCTTGAGAATTCTGTCCCGAGTTGTAGAATCCCTCGCTTTGATGTTGAGCTCTTGAGCAACCCCTATATATACAAACTTTGTTCTGCATAAAAATTATATTTCATTCCCACCTTATCAAGAATATCTCGACTATGGCCCTTGTATAAATATACAGTTGAATATTCTGAGGAATTTCCTACAAAAATATCTGTATTTATTTGTGCCTGGAGCTAATACTTTCGCCTATTTGGGATTAATGCTGAAACTCAAATTGAAAGCGGAACGATAATCTCTCTCTCTCTCTCTCTCTCTCTCTCTTTCTCTGGCATTAGTTGGAATCTAGGCGTATGCCCACATTGTTTACATACACTTTGTCTAGTCTCTTAATTGAGAATTGTGTTTAATCAGCTTATGTCATAGGCTCTTCCTTCCTCTCCCGCATGGCCCTAACCCTTTTGTGAGCTCAGCTCTATCTCACACTGTCGACTAGGGTCGCACATTGCATTTCTGCTGGCGTCGACGGCTGCTGTTGCTGTTGCTGTTGATGATGATCAATTTAACCTTCAAATAGCTACACAATTACTCTTGACAACAATGACAACGACGACAGCGACAGCGACAACGAGTGTTGTGGCCCTGCCCCTGCCTCCCACTGGGCTGGCTCATCCTCCTCCCCTTCGCCCCCCGCTCTTCCAGTTGAGATATGTATAACCTGTTTCCCCACCTCGCCCGCCCCCTTTCCGGCAGCACCTCAATGGATTGTTATGCGCTGCTCTCTAGTGTTGATGAAGAGTCTCTCACTCTGCTCCTCCTCCTCCTCCTCCTCCACCTTCGCCTCGTTCTGTGTCATCTGCTTGTCTAGTCCCAAGGTGATGACGCACTGTCAGCTCCAAGACAAGCTGCATCGTCGAGGCGGCACAGTCACAGTCACAGTCGCCTGTTAAAAACTCGTTACG